CCTAAAAAAAAAAAAAAAAGAAAAAAAAAAAAAGAAAGGAAAAAAAAATTAGATCAAATATAATATAAGCGATCCCATCATAAAATCAATAATTAATCAGTTAATTTACGTATAATAGGATCACTATATTACATTTGATCCAAAAATTTATTAATAAGCTTCGACCCGAATCATGTGATGTATTTTTAGGCTCGGGTTTAAAATTCGAATTACCCGGGTTTTTATGACCGTTTCGGAGCATAAACCTAATCTAAATTAACTACCGTAAAAGGTATAGATCAAAAACATCCCAATTAATTTTGATTTGTACCCACAAGGTCAGTGTTGTTAATTTAACCGAGACAATGTTAATTAACTATTTGAACTAATGAATCGGTTATTTAATCCATTAACTGAATCAATACAATTGAACGTACAGATATCTAAAATGTGCAATTGTATGATTATAAACCAATAAAATGAGTTTAGAGTTATAAACTATGCATATACTATGCATATCGTTGGACATTGAAGTTATTTAACTAATCCAATGTCTTATGACTTGGCTTGAACCGGGTAAATAACCATAGTTCGAAAGTCCAAATAGTGACATTAACAACACTGCAAGCTATTGTGTGAAAAGGAAGGTACAATCCAAAAGGATATTTGAACTGATCTTTAGACAAAGGTTTTGGATGCAGTGCTCTACGGTAATGGCTGCCACTTACGACAGGCACATGTGAGAAATAAATGGATCTGTCTCCAATTATTTAAATTGCAGTTCGGAAAGGTCCGACCTTGCCAAGATTTACACATGTGTTGTAATGAATAGCAATCTTTCATAAACCCGATCTAATCTGACAGTGGTTTAATTAAAACATATCTTAATTTTAAATTGCACTTTGGAGTGAAGGTCCGATTTTGTAAACACGAGTTTTTCCCAAGAACTCTGTGCTAACATAATTCAAAATTCACTACAAACAAGTAAATTTAATTGCATTGGTGAAACATCACAATTAATTAATTCCGCACCTATGATGCATAACTACGTCTCAAAGTGTAAACGAAGGTCATGTAGAATGGCATGTAGAATGTCATATAGAATGTCATATAGAATGTCATAAAAATGCCATGTAAATGGAAAATTGAATGGGAACAAAAAGAATAAAAGATGGATATGATTCATTACAATATTATTGATCTGTTTTTTAATAGTTAGTCTCTAGCAATGCTTTTATAAACACGATACACTAGGGGAAGGTAAACAAAGATTAGTTAAAACACTTTAAAATAAAAAAAAAAGACAAACAATATTAATAATAGTTTTAATATTGTTTTGTGAGCGATAAAGACTTTATACGTATAAAGATCCTTGTCTATGGTGATTAACGTGTATGACATGACAAATGCTGTCCTACAATCGCATATACACGGATATAACTTTATCTAGCATATATATATATATATGCATAGATTTTCATTCTCAATCCATAAATTTTATTTTTCCCATTTCTTATAATTTGATTCATATAAAGAATTTAATCCATGGAAAAAATTGTCGGAAGTACACCGACCGTAATTAGTGATGTAATAGAAGTTACAGAAGGTCTAACTCAATTTACCGCTGGTTCGGATGCAGCAAAAAATGCCTTATGTGCTGTTGGCGCCGTCGGAGAGGCTGTAAAACCCTTTGTGCCTTTAATTAGCGCAGTAACTCTTCTGATTTCTGAAATCATCGTGATTTATGAAAATGCCCAGTATAATAAGAGAATTTGCAATTCGTTAATGGACAGAGTTGGTGCAGCTGAACAAGCTATTAAGTCTTTGCAACGAAGGAAAGCTGAAAATGAAAAGCGCTTCAAGAATGCTGAATATTATAAAAATTTTGTACGATTCGTTGATGTTTTAAAAAGAATTAAAGGATTTATCAAGGATGTATCTGAATTACAAGGTTACAAGAAATTCTTTCATTCGGGTTCAATCAAAGAGAAGTTTGACAGTCTTGTCAAAGAGTTTGAGACTGTGATGGGAGATTTGCATTTTACAATGGCTGTTGCCGATGAAGAGCAAAGGAGACTTGACCATGAAGCTCTTGAACAAGATATTTCTGATATGACTAAGGTATTTTTACTGATTTAATGGTTCAATTTCTTGTAATCTTATATTGTAATTAGTAATATTAATCTTTTTATATGATTATTATTATTCTAGTTTTTAGAACAAATCAAAGGTGGTATAGTCGATAATACTAATACACTCAACACTGTTTTACAAGAAGTGTTGATTATGAAAGGCCAAATAGAGCATATATCTGATATTTCAAAGGTTAATTTACCAAATAGCGGATCTATCAAGGCTGTTGAAATAAACTCCGATGAATTGCTAGATCCAGATATTAAAAGTGAGACTGACCGTAGAGGCAAAAAACCAAACTATATTTATAAGAAAACTTATAAGGTTCAGGAGGTTGCTTGTAAGCAAATAAATATTCCAAGTGATGACGATGCTAAAGCTACAAGAGTTCAAGCTCAACTTGCTATTTTGGGAAAATTGCGAGATTCACCAAATATTCTTAAATTTTATGGTCTTTCATATCTTGAAGGCAATAGAGTTATGGTTAATGAATGGGCTGAAATGGGTACATTAAGAGAAGTGTATGAAAAATATGATATTGCATGGACCGCAAAAGTACACATAGCTACTGATATTTGTCGCGGTATTACATTCTTGCATTCCTGTTCTATCCTTCACCATGACATTCGATGTGAAAATATATTGGTAATGTTACTTATTTTAAATAGTTCAATTTATAAATTTAGTTTTAAACTTTAATAATTTACAGATGACACGAAGCCTCGATCCTAAAATAACTAATTTCGAATATTCACGTTATGCGGCTTCTACTACTACAAATATGTCAACAATAACCGAAGTTGTACACTGGATGGCACCTGAAAAATTACGACCATCTAAAGATACGAAACAAGCACCATATACCGTTAAATGTGAAATTTTCAGGTAAACTCTCGGTTTATCTATGGTTAGTGATGATGACATTTAATTTCATTTATTACATCTACATTAAATGCTTAGTTTTGGAATGACACTTTGGGAACTTGCCTTTGAGAAAATTCCTTACGAGCATTGGGGTATGAGTCAAATAAAAGAGCATGTTGTAGCGGGTAAAAGGGAGAAAATCAGCTTTGGAGACGCCTCGCCGGAGATTCAACAAGTTCAGCAAGAGTTGAAATTAATTATTGTATCAGGTAATCATTATATCAGGTATACAATTATTATTTTTATTCATTAATTCATTCATTCATTCATATCATTTATTTTGTTTATTTTCAAACCAAGCCTGGCAGGATGATCCAGGTCTTCGAGCATCACTTCAACAAATCTTCTTGCAACTTTCTAAATTAGCCAGCATTCATAAGAAACCATTGTCTTCTCCGGCACTTCTTCCGGCAAAGACTTTAGATTTAGATGGATCCATGAAAAAAGCGCCTATTTCTGTTAGTGATGAAGGTGGTACAGAATTACCAGACCTAGGTGATGAATTTAACATTGATGCAATAGAGCCGGTAATGCCTCTAGAAGATGGCATTGTAGCACACAAAAGAAAAGACAATAAAACTGCCTGGGAATGCTTTGAAGCACATGCAGATCTTGGTAACACCACTGCAAAATATTGGATGGGCTATTACTTGTGGGAAGGGTGTTTGGATGGAAAGAAAGATCGCATACAAGCGAGCAAACTGTTTAAAGAAGCTGCCGATGATGGCATTTCTGATGCACAGTTACGATATGCATTTTCTCTGGTGAACAACCCACCAATAAGGTTTGACCGTACAGTATTTCTTGATTATTTGAACAAAGCTGCCGACAACAATAATCCTACAGCACAATTTAATTTGGGTGATATGTATTTAAATGGTAAACTTAAAGTAGAGAAAGATCGAAAATTGGGCATAAAATACTTGAGATTGGCTGCTCTCAATAATCAACCCAAGGCCATTGAAATTTTAAACAAGATAGGCATTAATATTTATACTGATGGACAAGATGAATAAATTCTTTTGTAAGTACTTCAATTTTTTATTTACATGTCAAATATTAAATGATATATTATTGATTTTTTTTTTTTTAAAAAAAAAAAGAATTAAAAATTTTAAATATTTATTTTCCTTGTAAAATTATTATTTATAAAAGAAAAAAGGTGTACAATATATTTATTAAAGTCTAGTTATGAGAAACCAACGCGTATTATCTCGTTTCTGGACAAACTTTACGCTAAATTCCTAATTTTTGATAACTATAACATGTTAGATATCATATTATTGTATTAATTAACATATACCATAATTTTTAAAAAATAAAATATTTAAAAAAACTTCATCTTTTATAATGTATAAGAGATGTATAAGAGAAATGTTAAGTACAAAACATATATTATTTAAATGAAATAATATAATATTCACCATAGGTGATAATCACCTGTAATTTACAATGCATAAAAAAACAAAAATTAAATTCTTTCTTTAATATTAGGGTTAGAATAAAGATTAGAAATTGGAATATAGGTTAGTTTATAGTAAAATTTTGCAAGAAATTTTTTTATTAGAACTCAAAAAGTAGTTTCTTAGACAAAATTTTGAGATATAGATGGTTTTTTAAAAAATTCTTTGTTTTTGTTACACAAAATTGATTGGCAAATTGTATTACAGGTGATAATCACCTGTGGTGTACATTAGAATTCTTCTATTTAAATTTACTAATATTAATTGTTTTAACAAGCCAACCTAATCTGCATCTATCAATACTATTTGCCTTTTTCTTTTTTTTTGAAATAATTTGAGGATTAATTAATTTTAAAAAGAAAAACTTTCAAGATATATAAATATATAATTTAGCTATATTTTTACAATATTGATAGATTGTTAAATATAGTCAAAATGGATTCCCAACATAAGCTTTTTTAAAAATTTCTTTGAAAAAAAGCATTTAAATTATTCTGTCAGAATTTAAACATTGGTTGATAATTTATACCTGAAAATTTCATTAACATAATCTTTATCTGATATTTTGATAATGATAAATATCAGAAATATATATTTCAGGTTTTTGTCGCGCGTCAAATCATATCGATATCAGTATTAAAACCAGAGTCTAAAAATAAAAGACTCAAATGTGGGCTTTTAATCAATCCAACTAGAATAATCACTTGTACTGTTTTTTGAACATGTGTTATTATTTAAAGCCCTCAGTATTCTATTCTCGGACTTCCTGGTTTTCACTTTGCGATCAGGTCTTTAAACCTATGCGAATTTTCGGAACTTCTAATTAAAGTTGTAGAATATACGGGATTTCCATTAGAAAAATGATCCTCGAAATTATATTGACTTTGTGAAATTTGCTAGCTATCTAATAATCCAATTGAATAAACTTTTTTTTTTATCTGTAGGGTTCAACACGCTCTACAAAATAAACAAGCTAAATCACTAGATATCTAGCCCAGTGTTGTTAATTTTGCTTCCAGTGGGAATTTCTAGTCTTCTAGTGGAAATTTGTAATAGTAAAAGTTCCAGTGACATTATTAATTTGTTTCCAGTGGAGTTCCAGTGGCCTTCCAGTGGTTTCCAGTTAACAACACTAATCTAGCCAATTTAATTTTTATTCACAAAATCAACATAGTCACGAAGGGTCATTTTTCTAATAGATATCTCATATTTGTTCTAATTATGATTAAAACAACTCGAGATGTGCGCTCAAAACTCTTTGATTCTATGATAATCGGAAAAAGATGTGGCCTCTGCAGATCAAAATCAAAAAAATTAAAACTATTTAATCTATCGATTTTAATTTCAGATTTGGTGGTTTACATTATCTCTCAGTAAAAAAAATTTCATGCGGGCGGATTTTTTCAATTTGATTATTAAAAATTAATTATAACATTTCAATGAACACGATAATTTCCGATTGAAAAAACGTTTTAATAAAATTTACTATGTATACGTTCCATTTTTCTCCCCCTTTTGAAAAAGGGATGTGTAAACCACCAAATCACAAAAATCATGTGGACATATCTTTTTGTAAAGCGTTATGAATAATCGGACATATTTTAGAATCGATTTTAAAGCATAGAATCGGTTTATATTTAGCATTTAACAATTAAATTTTTAATGTGTTCGCTTTGCTAAGAAAATATAAAAGGTTGTGTTTGTTATTACAGTGCGTATTATGTGGCTAGTTTTTATTTAATATTTAAGGCCGTCACTTGAATTTTATACTGTATAAATAAATAAATATATGATATAAATTATTCATCTATATATATATATGGGTGAATACACAGCAAAACCATGCTTAGAGTATATATGATCTATATACTCTAAGCATGGTTTTGCTGTGTACTCACCCATATATATATCAATTTTCTTATACCGTATAAGCGCGAAATAACGTTCATTTTGAAAATCAAGTACTTCAAGAATAGCATACGTGGTCTCGAATTAGCGTCCCAATATAACTAGCCACTATACCCAGCTTGCAATAACTGCTGGCCAGGCAAATGTATCAAGAGTAGGAATGTGCCACTGCCCAGCCTGCGCAGAAGTTTTGTTTAAATAATGCTGCAGGCTGCGCAGCCTGCGCAGTGGATCCAAAAAAATGCTCGATTACCCATTTTAATCAGTGTTTTAATCTAAATATTTAAGTAAATCATCTAGGTTCGCCCTTTATTTCGAAATAGCGCACATAGTAGAGAACTGCAAATTACCAATTTTGTAATCTGGCCCGGCTCTCGTTTACAGCTGATTTGAAAATTAGTGGGACACGTGATAAAATTTTTGTCGATCGTTAGTGAATTTCGATAATTAGGGTGTTCTAGCACACCTAAGAATTGCTTATGTAAAACATTTTAGAAAAAAATTATTTATTTTTAAAATTTACTGAGATAGATTAATTATCAATTTATTATTTTTTGATATAAAAAAAAAATCAAAGTAAAAAAAAGTTTTGAAATTTGAAATTTTAAATATATTAAAAAAACTAGTATGTTTTTTTAGGTAGAGGGTATTATGGTGCACAGTGTTCAAGATTTCAAATCAAAACACAGTTCTCAAGAAAACACTATAAAAGCTTAAAATGTTCTCAAATAACTACTAGTGTTCTCTAAAAAAAAAAAAAAAAAAAATTAAAATATTTTAAAAAAAAATTACAAATACAATAATTAAATAGCAAATAAAATCAATTTAAGTTAAAAAAAATAATTTACAGTATTATTAACTAATATATAATTTTATTTTTTTTTTACTATGATCAGAATCATAAATAAATTAGTTATTTTATGGTAAATTCTGTATTTTATGATAC